TTATTCTTTTCTTAGTGGCCCAATAGCTCCTTTTCATTCAATCTCATATTTGGCCCTATTTACTTCAATTTTTGGGCCAAAAAATTTACATATCAACAGGGTTCAAGTAGCTAACCTTTACAGTTGAGAGACTTAGGTGGCATTTGATAACACTTTTCAGACGTCTAGAGTTCAAAATATCTGCTTTTCAGATGCAATGCTTATTTGGTATTGCATCTGAAAAGTTCTTTTAGATCTGAAATTTTATGACCCAAGCCTGTCACTTAATATGCTCAGACACGACTCAAATGTGGCCTAAAGTCGAAAATACCCCTAGCCCACTCTCTCTCTCTCTCTCACATACACACACACACAGTAGTAGTGCTTGTTGTCAAGAGGGTAGGGGATCAATAATTAATAACAATTATTAATTATTTTTTTAATTTTAATCATTTCATTTATTAAGTAGTAATTTTTTATTTTTTATTTTTTATTCGTATTGTTTCAATATTATTTTGAAGTTGAAAATTATTTTTATGAGATCATGCAAATTGAACTCAACATTTCCAAATAGATGTTCTAGGGATAAAATAGTAAAATCAATGAATTTCAGATGGTAAAGGGTTGATCCAATACAAACAAACTTATCGATTTAAAGCCTCTAAAAAGTAGAAAAGCACCTATGCTCCTTTTCAGATTTCAAACACAAATAATATTTTTTTAACTTTTCAAATTTCAGATTTCAGATTTATCAAACGCCACCTTAGATGATGAAGATATCGAAATTGATTTAGATGTAGTGGCTGGATCAATCTAACTTTAATCCAATTATAGACCAAGAGTAAAAGACAACCAATTTTCCAATATTTGTTTTTTGTATGTTTATCTATTTTTATATTTTATTATATGATTTATGATGTTGTTAGCCTAAATGGTTGAATTGTTGACCCCCATTGGCCAATATAGCTGAATTGCTAATGTGAATCAAAACCTTCTTTATATGCAATATAGCTTAATTCCATGCTAATAATTTCTTTGAATTAATTATTTTAGTTATGCAATATTAGAATTTGAAAATTATGAACTGCCTCAATAATTTATACTTTTTAGAGACATCCACCAAAATTAATTGATTTGTTTACATTTAATGCTATTAGAAAGACATCTAATCTTATATTATTTTTTGTTTCTAGTTATATTAACTAAATATTTTAATATTATAAAGGGAATATTCCAAATTAGTATCATGTAATTCTGTCCCCGAACTTCAAAATGTGTCAATCCATTACCTAAACTTTTAAAATGTGTCAATCCATTACCTAAACTTTTAAAATGTGTTAATTTAGTGTCTACCGTTAACCAGCCGCTAAGTGGCATGTGAAAAGACACTAATACCTTTCAGGTGTCATCTAATTTTCTTTATCAACCACCCAAATGCCCAAATCATGAAGGGACGTGATGTTGTGGTCCATATACTTCTAGTGAGAGAATCTAAAAGCCCATTTCAAGCGTATGAGAATGGTGATGACATTATTGTTTGTATGAACTATGCCCTTAAGATCCTCACTAGAAGGCATAATTTGGTTTTCTAAGATTGAAGACTGGCTTTGTAAGTTCTCTTTCTCTGTTTTCCTTAATAGGATGAAATGTAAGAAATTGCCTTTAATTTGTTGCTCTGACGATTAAAGAAAGCAAGATGGTGAATGGTGACTCAAATGTAATCAGCTTCCTTATTTGAAAATTGAAATCACTAAACTAGACTGAGAGATTCAAATGCAAACAACTTTATGGATCTTATTTTCGATCATTCAGCAGAAAAAAATAAGGAAAAGAATTTCCTCAAACCTCAGGAAAACATTTCAAGAATATAAAAAAACACAAGAAAACTGAACTAATAGAGAAAGCATAAGTTCTGAAGGTTTTGCATAGAAAACTAAGATGGTGTTTGGTATCGATGTAGCTTTTGGAAGAAACGATGCCAGCTCAATATTGGAGATGCATTTAACAAAAAAACGCCTAAAAAGTTATTTGGTTGAGCCAATTATCTGACAAATGGCTCTCTCAAAAATTGTGTGAATCAATTATTAAAAAAACACCAATTTTGACATTTTTCATTTTCAAGACCAATTTTTTACTGTCTAGCTTTATATGGCGCCTGATGGTGTTGAAGTGTAAAAAAATCGTACAAAACGTTTAAAGCAGATTTTGTCTCACTTTTCAAGACAAAATCGTACAAAACATTTATCTTATAAATGCCGTCAATACCAAACAACCTCTAAAATAATCTCTGTTTCAAGTCAAAATACAATAAAAAAGACTCGATAGAAGAAATTAAGGCAACCCATTAGACTTGACAATGGGCACTTGGTTTTACTTTTGCAAAAAGTGGAGGACACTAAAAATTTGGAAGTATAACCAAGGTTCAAATTATCGACATGTATCGACCAATACGTATTGTTCCAGGACCCCTCCGATACGCCCCTATAGTGGGTGTATTGGGAGTCTGACTGGTTCAGGGGATGGAGGAGCCCTAAACCAGCCCCCCTGAACCGGTTGTGAAAAAAATAAAAAAAAATCAACAAAAAGCAGTATCGATTTGCCCGATACGCCCCTACCGGCATATCGAGCATATTGATATTTTGAACCTTGAGTATAACCATAGCATTGTGAAGTGATAAAGTAAGAAACACAGAAAAATAAAAGTAGAAAAATACAGTTAAAAGAAAAAGGCAGAAGTAGGGTGGATTCGAGCCGAGCCGAGGCAAATAGTACGAAGCTCGAGCTCGGCTCACCAAGGTAGTATAAGGCTCGAGCTCGATTTGAGAGAAAAAAAATATTTTATAAAAATAAAAATTATATATAAAAAATATTTTTTATTTGATATTTAAAAATTAAGAATTATAATATTTTTATTATATATATATATATTCAAACTTGGCTCGCGAACCTCACGAGCCAAGCTCTATTAGTCTCAAGCTCGGCTCGTTTATTAATCGAGCCTATAAATTGGGCTCGAACTCAGCTCGAAGCTCGATTAAAACCGAGCCAGGCCGAGCTTTTCATGAGTCAAACTCGAATAGCTCGTGAAGAGCTTGACTCGTGGCCACCCCTAGGCAGAACTTAAAAACTTGGATAAGATGACAAAAACTGCATATTTATGTTACTCATAAAAAAAAAGAGAAAAATAGAACAAGGCGAAATGTTTGTTGTATCAAAGGAAGAGAGATTACAGAGCCAGTCACCGAGGTACATTACAACTACCCATGTTCTATACTCCGTTCTTCCTCTTCTCTTTCCTCTCATTTTGCGTTGTCTTCATTGCTGTGCGTAGAAGATTAAAGAGAACTAGGGAAGAAAGTGAGATCCGTAGCTTTTGGGCTTGAGGACTGGCCGATTTCTGATGATTTTAGAGATTTGGGTATTGGTAAACCCGTATCTTCTGAGCAAGGAAATGACCGAGTCTGGTTTGTTCGAGGACTCAAACTGAACCGACTTGGATCGGCAGATTTCTGATGATTTTATTTGGGTATCTGTAAACCTCCAATCAGCTGTCTATTGTGGTTTTTTCGGCAAGTCCAAGAGACATTCAGTCTGAGTTGAAGATGGTGAACAGTGTTTTTAAGGGTAATTTTGATATTTTAAAAATTTTGAATAACACATGTCATCATGTCATATAATAACTGACAGATTGATACATTTTAAAGTTTCGGGACCAAAGTAACATTAGGCCCAAAATATATGGTTCTAATATTGAATTTTTCCTAAATATAACATAAATTTAATATAAGTAGATAATTAGTAGATACAATTGAATTAATAATGTATTCTAATTAGTTTAATCATTTAAAAACTCAAAATAAGAGAAAAGATTTTAGGGGATTTTATAGTTCAGTCCACCCCTAGGGTGGAGCTAAGATTTCTAGGGATGGACTGAATCCTGCCAGTGGATTAATGCCAAATTCATGGGCAGGATGTGGTTTATAGGGGAGGTTACAAATAGACTAGGAGGGGGCTGCAATTTCAGATTTCTGAGCTGGATTGCAGTTCACTTATCTCAAAATTGATTTTAAGGGGTCTAAAAGAGTAGAAAGGAGCTGCTAGACAACAACATAAATATGAAAAAGGGATTTGTTGTCACATAATCATGCTAAACAGTTAGATGCCTACTAATTAGAAACAGGTCTTATCAGGTCATATGGGATAGGATTGGTACTCTTTAGGGTTTGAGTGTTCTTTATGCTATGTTTGGTTTGAAGGAAAAAGTAGGGAAAGGAAAGGAAAGGAAATGAAACCTTTATAAATCTTGTATAGGTTTTTCTGCATTTCCCTTCCTTTCCCTACTTTTTCCTTCAAACCAAACATAGCCTTAGTGTTTTGGAATCGTTGTTGATCCGGACGGTCAGACTATTCAGCCTAGAAACCGTTTAGGCAACAGGTTTTGTTTCACTCTTAACCCATTTTTTTGACAAAAAATTATTGACTTAGTCAGCGATCCACTAACCCGAGTGGTCAAACAGTCGATCTGTTTGATCCAAATAATGGGTTTTTGCTGTTTTTTATTTTAATTATTTTTTAATTGAGAACGGACCATCTATTTGAATCGGATGGTCAAACCACTAACTCAGAAACTGGTGGTCAAAGCAGTTCCAGTTCTGAGTCGGTTTTTAAAACATTAATGTTCTTCATCCGGACAGAACTGGGTCTATCTTAGCCCGGTTTGGGCTTTGAATTATCTCGTAGAGTCGTATCTTTAGCCACGGGCCCACCTAGCGACCTGAAAATTGGTTCATCCGGGAAAGATGGAAACTAGTGGAGGACGCGCAACGGCGCAAGCCGCAAGGAACTGGCCAAAACTCAAAAGGAAGATAGCCCGGGTCAACGGTTTTTTGTGACTATATGTGATCGACCCGGAAATTGTGATTTGTGGAGGGTCAACCAGCCGGTCCGTCCGGGTCAAACGATGGGTGTTTCAGGAAAGATAAGGGGTGGAACGACGGGTTTTTATTCGTCGGTCACTTATGCTGGGACTCTGGGAACACGTCCGAAAATGGAGCTCACATTGCTGCGTTCCCTGTCATTTCCCTCCATTCCTACAGCTACAGGTATGAATCTCTCTCTCTCTCTCCTTCTGATTTTGAAGTCCTCTATCTCTGATGGCCATAGATGTTTCTCTCTTTGAAACTAAAAATTTCATGACTGATTAGCTCTGTTCGCAGTTACTTGTTACTTTGCTTTTTTTTGTTTTTTTTTTTTCATTATGGGAGTGGTAATTTTCAAATGGGTAATCGAAATTGTAGTGTAACGAACAGAATAAAGGTAATGGGTTTTCTTATTTCTTTCCAACAGAATCTAGGTAATCACTGTTGCTTTAGAACCAAGGCATGGTATGTTATTGAAATTTGGGGCGGTGATGATTGAATGCAGGCCTGAAAATGGAAATAAGAGTTTCTTTAATTTTTTTCTTTTGTGGTTCAAAATTCGCAATTTAGAAAAACACCATAGCTACAAACAGATGGGTTATATAAGTTTTTGCAGTCTTTTTATCTCTAAATTCAGGACTGCGATTCTTCAAAGGAGCGGCAACCTCACTCGAGATGGTGTCCATATGGATTTTTATTAAGTCCAACCTTTCAGATCCCTCGTTCTCAGTATCAACTTGGTATAGGTCTAGTTCAGCATGTTCATATCCAGAACCTCAGGCACTGTGAGAAGGCATTTGACCCAGACACCCATTTCTGAGGTTGCCAACATTACCAAAGTATAGCCGCTTCATTACAGCCCCCAAGAATTTATCCAAATATAGGGGATTTGTGTTTATCCTTTTCAGCAGCAACTAAAATATGAAATATAGATTACTTGGATACTTGGAATCAACCTCAACTTGTACATATATGATCAAAATTTTAGCATCTTTCACCACAAGAAGTTTTGTGGTCTCAAAATCTTTTGCATACTGCTTGATCAGCATTGCTCTTGCTTTGGCTTTGCTGGTTGCTTGGTAATTAAATCAAGCAAGCAATAAACATTTTGCTTTTGATAACTCCTGTCTTTGCAATGTTTTCTTCTGTTCTTAACTTATTTACGATTTATCATATAATTTAAGTCCCAATGGATTAAGTTAATGCTTATCATAGTTCCATTGTTCAAACCCTTCATTTGGCTGCTGTTCTAAGATGTCTGAGATGTGATGCTTGTATTTCTGGATTAGTTCTCAGTATTTGCTTTATTGTGTTCATTTTCAAGACCCATACAAAGCATTATTCCCTCTTATTTGTTTTGCTTTTATTTGGTAATACAAATTTCATGTTAATTTCAAATATTTTAACATAATTCATAACAGTTTACTTGAACTTCAATGGATCAAAGCTGATCTTATTACAATTGCATGAAGCAATTAGGGACTGCAAGCCCAAAGCTTACTACGCAAGTTATCCAAAAATTGGTGGACCATTTACTTTAAAGTCACAAGAGCAAGGAAGAGAAAAACATGGGGTATCCTTTGCATTACCAGAAACTGCTGCTTCTGTAGTACTTGCTGCCACGGTTGTAGGTGCAGCAGCAACTCTTTTAGTGAAGACAACCAAAACTTCTGAAACTTCGGAGGTGTGTACTCATCATTTAATGTTAGAAGCATTAGTAGTCATGCAAAGAAAGCTCAGTACTTTTTTTTTTCTCTTTTGAGTGGGTGGGAAGGGGACTTTTGTTTTGTAAATTGATTTTCTTTGCATCTCTAATATTCCTACAACACAGATTGGTTCAGATCAATCTCCACCCCTCTCCCAATACTCACACACACTCACACATAGAGGCACATTGCTAAGATGAGGTTTCCTTGCCAATGCAAATGTAGGAAATCCCAAAGATCTTCTTGATGTCTGGATGTATCCACTTAATTTTATGTGCAATATTTGTGGCACAGGCTACATCCATGATCTTAGCCCTATTAGGTGATTAATGCCATCTTATTCAAAGGCTTGTTATTCCCCTTCCCTTTTCTCCCAGATCCTTGCCACATATTACATATCTGACCTAAAGAATGATTAAGAGTAGGTATATATGTTTAGGAGCATACAGTCTAGAGATCCCTGATGAGACCATAGGATGTTAGCAAGTAGCATCCATCTGTTTGTATGTTCACCAAGCAGACATGTAGGTTGGTTTTTATGGAGGTCAGTCGTCTAGAAATTTGTCTTTTTAGTGTGTTCTGAAACTTCCATTCTAATTCACCTCGTTCTTAATAGACAGAACTTGTCGAAAATTTGTGAAGATTGTGGTGGCTCGGGTGTTTGTGCTGAATGCAATGGCGAAGGATTTGTGCTAAAGAAACTTTCAGAAGAAAGTGCTGAGAGGGCAAGGATGGCTGCAAAGAACATGGCCACACGGTACACAGCAGGGTATGCAATGTTGATCAGCTCTTTTTTCCTTAAGCTTTTCATAGAAAACTATTTACAAAACATATTCTATTTGTTGTCATCAGGCTCCCGAAGAAGTGGAGTTACTGTACAAAGTGCTCTTCATCTCGATCCTGTATTACATGTGGTGGCAGTGGGAGGTTAAGTGCATAATTTGCGCTAGTCACACGTTAGCTTCTAACCCATATTGGAGGTTGTTGCTTCATTTCACTCTGTCACTGCACAGAGGCAGCTTGGGCCAACTTCAAGTAGTTCTGAACCTCAAGGTTTAACCTTCCTATGCTTTATGCATTTTGGAAATGGTTTCAATAGCAAAGGTATTTTTATGCTTGAACAAATGCAATATAAATTTATCATTCTCATTTGTTTCCCCACACACCCTTCATGTCTATTTTGCTACAAGTTGACAATGTTTTAAAAAATGGATGAATAAAGATGTGATTGTGCATTTATTTCTGCCATTATCAAACATAGATGAGATTGACTTAAATGATATATGCTGTTACCCAGAGAAAAATAGATATCTGGGAATCATAAGCCATACTCTTGATGTATAGTGTATAAACTATACAGTGCTTTAGGACATGGAGACATGATTTAACTAGTTACTGTGAAGGGGCAGCATGCATCATTTAATGGTGACACCTAGGTCTACCATGCTAATAATCAAAGCCATTTGATATCTGTTCAGTTGATTTTCATACTGCCTTGGACAACTTTGAGTACAGACATGTGTCTCCTGTGTGACATTAAATGGGCCTCAAGAAAGTGTATGGATTGGAGTGCTATTGTCATCTCATTTTGGTAGTTTTTAACAAGATTCAAAATTTAAATACATCATACCGGATCTAGTAGATACATGTAAGCATACTCACTGAGCACCCATTAAATATTTCGATCCAATTCCATACTTTGAAGTCTAAGAATAATTCCCTTTTTTAGGGAATTGAATTTGGGTAGAGGTATATTCAAATATGATCTGCTAGAATCTGGGAGATCTGAAATTGATTTTATGTCCAAAAAACTAGTATAAATATGCAAAAAATAAATATAAAACATGTATATATGTATTCAAAATTGAATTGGATTAAATCTGATCCAATTAAATAAAGGTTGTAAGTTAAGCCTATCATGAATCGGGCCTAGTAAGTCACCTACAACACAAGTAACAAGCCTACAGAAGATACCCCTGAGACAGAGGTAGCCCTTGCGATATGATCTTTAGGGGGTGTTTTTTTTTTGGATTTTGAGAGGGGGAAAAGTTGGTCAATGGGGATCAAGAATCCCATGTTCATTTTTCAGATTTATGTGGGGATCAGAGAAAGTTTATTTTCCTGAGTATACTCATCTCTTACGTGGGTAAATAACTTTTTCACCTAGGGGGAAAGTTGCTAACACTTGAATGGGACAAAAATGCCCCTTTTAATAATGGATTTTTATAGCTAAAATGGTCATTACCTTATTTACCTAGGAAATAAAAGAACATGGGTAAATGTACTTACATGGGTAAATGTTTCCCACGAAAAACTTACCCAGGTAATTTCATTTACCCAGGTAAGTAATTTACCAAAAAACGAACGGGGCCTTAGGGATAAAGTTCAAAATTTCATTACGTATTGACCCATATCGTCTGCTATATGTTATATTGGTGGGTCACCAATGTTTATTTTATGAGATTTGGTGAAACTTTGGTTTTATATGTTAAATACTCCTATTTGGGGTGGGCCCTGAAAGTTCAAAAAAATATATATTGTGGTCATGCTGATACACTTCCACCATATTGGGGTGTGTCAAAAATTTGAACCTAGGTACTCACCAGCATATACAACGCAAACAGCCTGCCAGTCCATAGGTATGTTTAACTTGTGGCTATGTTTGGTTTCACAGAAAATAAAAAAAATAAGGCTATGTTTGGTTTGAAGGAAAAGATAGGGAAAGGTAGAGAAACCAATACAAGCTTTGTAAAGGTTTTCTTACCTTTTTTTTTTCTTTTCCCTGCTTTTTCCTTCAAACCAAACACAGCCTAAGAGACAGAAAGTTGAGAGAAAATTCTTAATTTTGTAAAATCCCTTATTAATTTTTCCTTAAACTATAGAGTAATTGGCACAAGTAAATATATCGAAACGGGTTGGTGATTTACTTGTGAATCCAACGTAATAACGTTTGGGTTGGTTGAAGGATGCTTCACTGCCTAAATGCTTGCCTAAGAGATCCTGTACTACACAACCAATGGATTGCAAGTAATAGGGGCCCCAGACAGTGAGACAGCAGGCCGGGGTGAGCGAGTTTCAGAGATACTCCCCTTTCTCTCAATTCCCAGTATATTTAGGCAGGCAGACCTCCCCTTGCACAAAAGAGATGATCACGATACGTAGGTTTTGAATAAAATTGTTCCCCTCTCCCTTTCCTCTGCTCTCCTTGCATATCAGCTTAGAGGTCAATTTTAAAAACAAGCATATTGACATACAGAGATGATGCTTAGGGCTGCACAATTGTTCATTTGTTTGGTCTACCGAACAGCCTGATCCAAGATTGCCACTGAATACGTGCAGTGATAGCGATCGAATCAAATAAATCCATAATACCTCTTAGGCCCTGTTTATCCATTTCTAATTTTCTACTTCTAACTTCTTCTAAGAACAAACCCAAAAAAGCAAAAATAATTCAGTTTTGAACGACCCATTCTTCAAGCTCCATGGGCCACCGTCAAGCACTTCTTGAATACTGAGAAGGTTAATGATTTGATCATTTGGAAACCTTGCCTTTTTTTTTATTTTACATCTAAAGAAAAAGCAATCTCAAAGGTACTTCACTGAGGAATTTTATTCCTAGACGTTTAAGCTGTATTAAAATCAAATATATATTGCCAACTTTTTATTTTTTTGGTAGAAAAGACGAATATCATTAAACAGAAAATCAAGAAGAAAAAAGTTAAGCTCAAGAAGATTGAAACTAGCCCACATAGGGCACACTTGCATGATCTATATATTGCCAACTGATGTGAGGTCAAATGACATGAGAATATGTAGAAGTTTTCAATCATGCATCCTCTATCTGCCAAGTTCTTGTTGTGTATACTTGCATACATTTCAATAATTCCATATGAACTCGTGAACAAGCCCCTCCTCCCAATTAAAGAAAACATGGAGGAGACATCTTTGTAAATATATTGCAATTCTACTACCCTTTGTGCTACTCCTTGGAAGAATCAAGTATAAGATAAGCATCAAAGCCAATAATATTAACCTAAGTTCTATCAGAACTTGGCACCAAAGCCAAGTATAAGATAAACAACCTTGGCTATTATCTCCTGTAAGTTCTATCAAAACTCTTCCCATCATAAATGAGGACAAAACAAGCCCTATTAAAAGGAAATATGAAACACACCTCAACTTGTACTTCCCCTTCTTTGAATTGGTTTGTAAAGCACAACTGTGACAAATTTCGAACGAAAGCGATGAGTTATTCCAAGGGCCACTACTGATCGTGGGCTCTCCCTGTTCTCAATGTAGAGATGATTGAGAATCACATGTTGTGGTAAAGGAAGTGCACCAGATGCATCTCTGGTTGTTGGAAAGCTCAGCAAAGTGTGTTGCAAGTGGGAAGGGAGAAGAGGTGGGTCCCTTGCTTCATCTTCATTTCCGGGGTACGGGTTGTTGTAACTTAAATCGGGTGACCGGGGAACTTCAAAACCCACCACACTTACTTCATCCTGCATCAGTGGTGTTTAGATCATAAAGTTTAGGTGATCCAATAACAATCGGGAAATTATATCCATTCATCGCTTACCTGATCTTCACCATATGTGTTATCCATGTTGATACAGGAGAAACACTTTTAGGACTAACAAATCATCAATGGTGGACAGCACTAATGTCAACAAGCCTGAAAAGGGAAGAATTCCTTCCATGAGCATTTCAAAACAACAGAAAGAAAAGAACAAGACAGAACAACAAGTAGGAAATTAGAAATATTTTTTTTTTATCAATAACACTTTCATTAATTCATCAGTAGAAAATTTACAAGTGGAAGACAAACACA